CCAGAGTTGGTAACTACCACACGTTTATGATGCACCCTGTATATTGGAAAGTAATTTTAGAATGTGGACCTTTTAAACGTGAAAAACTTTCGTTGAACGAATTTTCTTGTAAACTTCATATTTACTGAGATATCGCACTTTGACGCACTAATGAGCAACCCTGTATATATTGTACCGTGGATGGCCGAGTATTAAACTCTTTCTTCAGCTTACAACTTTTATTCCACTCGGTACAACTTTAACTACGGAACAGGAACAAACTAACTTCWAAYTTAKRGTCAACTTCACWAACYATAACAYRAACACAKGGAAAACACGSYTTTCCGYCTCSCGGYMTTWAKCCTTCTTCTGCACTRGGTCGCTCCTSTCACTTCACTRTRTCCCCCCCGTCTGGTTCTCGTCGTCGCTTATATCCTTTTCTCCAGGTATTCCAGATAGTTCTAGAAATCTCCAGAACAGGTGCAAAACTTCCCGCTTGTCAGTGTCATATTTGAATGAATTTCGATCCCCCATTCCAAACGTGAGTACCCCAGGCCATTTCCGTTACAATATATATATATATATTTTATATATATGCCATAAAAAAGTGCAAAAGAAGTGTTCAAAATGCGATATCGCATTGCACATGGATTGCTTCAAGACTTACCACAAAAATCAATAACTCGATTCTAGACTCTAAGTTGTTCAATAATTTAATCTTCCCGTTCTTTTCTTGTATTCATTTGGATATTCGATATTCTTTTAAATTATAATGTGGTTACAAATAAATCAGTATTACTAGATATTAATATCCCTGTTTAACTGCCCATTTGCCTAACGTCCTTATTTAAGGACGCCTTCAATTTTTTTTTGGAAAATGGCGGAAATTGAAGATACATTTTTTGAGAAGAAATGAAAAAAGAGGCAGCATACTGCCATGGGGAATGAAACAGCAGAATTAAGAGTTGTAGCTTCTGTAATAGAAAACCGACTATATTTGTATATAGAACGACTGCAATAAAAGTCGATTATTTTATAACAACTTTTCTTAAACTCTATTTTAACGAAATTAAAAATTTATTGTTAACAATTAGCAAATCATAGAATGTACCATATTTTTAGAAAGGTAATTTCAAACTCAAAACAAATATGATAAAATATACCGAATGCCTCATTTAAAATTATGTAATTTTTGTTAATAACTAGAAAAGTATTTGTTTACCTTAAATAAAACGTACATTATTAAATACCATGTGGAAAAGTTGCTTTGGAAATGTTTCCGTTAAAAGATTTTATGAAACACAGGAAAAGAGTTAGAGGACCTTTCCAAGTGCAAATTTTTGCAAAAGAGCCTAATGTCTCAAACCATACGAGATATTGAAAAATCACAAAGGACATTCGACATCAGTTTATGTAGGTCTGCTATAGAAATAGAAGTTTCCATTTAAAAGTGTTCAATTTGGCCCACACTCCTGCAGGTAAGTATTTGTGAGCTCTATTATGTGTTGCAATGTTATTTACCTATTTAAAAAGAGTGTAAATGAAAAAACTACAACGTGTTACTTCTCGCAAAAAGTGAATTCTGCTCAGTTGCCATAAGGGATTTTAGATTTAAGAAAGCACTGACTATTTGTTGTTGGTATTCCACATTTAAAAATAATCAAAGCACCAGCAGCTAAAATATTTAATACGTTATAGGTAAGTATGCACTAAAAATTTAATTTTTTTTATGTAGAATCACTCAATTTTCTAGCATGAATTCTGGACGTCCTATATGTTTGTGAACTCTGCTTTCATAGTGCAACATAGAATATATTTACCTTGTAATAGAGGCATATTATCGGCCACATACCTAAGACGGTGTAAATATTTTTACACGTAGATGTTATAAGGTATGTGACGTTGAAACTGTATTGAGTAAACATGGAAATGCATATTTCAAACAACAAGTTCAAAAGGCGGCTTAAACCGATATGAAATAAACCAAGCTATTTGAAGGTCTTGAAGCCGTAAAGTTTTAGATAGAATGGTAACTTTTAGAATTTTCTATCAAACTAACTTTCTGCCTAATAACAGATCTGTATTTTACAGCTTTAATACCGTATAAACTGCATGAATGCACATCATTGAGACATCAGTATTACTACTGTATTACTAGTGATAGCTTACCTCTGTGTTTCTCCATACACCACCTTTTATCATAATTCGCGGCATTTTGAATACCGTTGATGAATCACTTGTCAATCAATGTTAATACAGTTTAATAAGAATTAGATCTTACTAAAATAAAGGCCACTGTTGATAGCAATCCCAGCAACCAACGCAAGCGACTAATTACTGAACATAACCTTAAAAGTCTAGCCAGTCTAGCTTCCTATCCACAGATCATGACACACAGAACACAGACTACATACAAATTTCCAATGTTCCCAACCGACCAACAGAAAAGAAATGTATTTTTTTATTATATGTATTTATATTCCTGTTATATCCATTTTACTTAAAAATGCATAAATTAAAGAACAACAAAGAATTATCACAATAATATATTAAACATAAGATAAACAACACAACATTTTCAGAATCACATCACTTTTCAGCAGACGTTGTTTTAACTGAAAATTAACAGTGGCTTATTTTAAAAGAGCCAGGCAAATATCAAGAAAATATTTTATACAAAAGTTGTGTAGTTGCTAAGGGAAAACCCAGAGGTGATTTCAACTTTTTTGGGAAACCTCGCCAATTTTTTAAATGGATTCGTGTATTTTTTACTATGAATTCTGAGGAAGTTCTTATTAAATTTATTATATAATTATTGTAAATATGGCAGAATTTTGTTTTTTTTTATTTCTGCCATGCACATAATTTTTTTTGACGATCATATTTAAATAATAAAAAAATTAAGAATTTTTATGTTATTTTTAATTAAAAAATATTTAACAGAGAAACAGTGGTACTAGAAGTACAAAAAAACTCTAACTTTTTCTGAGACTATAAATCAACCTTTTTCTCTACAAATTGTGGAAACCTGAAGTATTTTATGAGGAAAAGGTACTCCTAATGTACTTCGCTCAGACGCACCATTTTCCAACTAAATGACTTAACAAATGAAAATCTTAGCAAGCAAAGCGAAATATCACAGCTATCCATACACATTTTATATTTTAAATTAATATTATTATCAACACTAATTTACTGGAGTAAATATTAAACAAATTTTCATTTTCTTGAATGCACACTCTGGACCTTTTCCTAATATGCTGGGTGGCACGGAGAATTTCAAAAGGGGCTTGTTTCATTTGATTTCTGGCTACGCAAATCCGCCTTAGAAGCTCTTCTGGGCTATCTACTTCTGTGACAAACAATATTGGACACATTACTCCACAGATGATAATCCGAAGGATTTAGATCAGGCGATCGAGCTAGCCAGTGTACTGGGCCACTTCGACCTATTCACCAGCTTGGAAAATGTTGGTTTAGCCAATTTCTCACAGGTTGGCCAAAGTGGGCCGGGGCCCCATCATACTGGAAAAACATTTCTAACCGAGTGTTTATAGGAATATCCTCTAGCAGTTCTTGCAGATCATGTTGTAGAAAATTTTAATAATTATGGGTATTTAACCTATTTGGTAAAATAATCGGTCCTATCAACATATCCCCTATGACACCTGCCTATACATTGAAAGGTAACCTATGTTGGAAGTTTGCCCTTCGAACCACTCTCAGACTCTCGAGGCTCCAAAAATGAGTATTATGACTGTTAAATGCTTTGCCTCTTGAAAAGGTTGCCTTATCCGACCATAAAATTATTTTTAAATCATGTTGGTGACTGAGAGTCCAACGGCAAAATCCTGTACGTGTTGGAAAATCTGTTGGCCCTTAAATCATGTACCCTTTTATAATGGAAAGCATGCAATCCTTGCCTATGAGTCATTCTTCCGATCTGAAAATATGGTTTAAATTAAAGCATGTGTTGTATGTCTTAGTGCAATCTTTTTTATCCTTTATCTTGTTTTTTAATAATCAAAAAAATTGCACGAAGGCATTCACTAGTTTTTCCTTACTCGTTAAAAGTAAAAATGCTTACAATAGATTTAGGGATATTGATAATATTTAACACAATTTTATAAAACAGTGATATTTTTAAAGTCATTTGGTTGGCAAACGGTGCGTCTGAGCGAAGTAAATTAAGAGTACCTTTTCTTGGATACCTAATTTCGGGACACCCTGTATAAAGGTTTATTTAAACTATTTTTTTGACTATTAAACGACCGAAATGACACACATCCATAGTCCTAGTTAGAAAACAAAAAAATACATATAATACAGAGAAAGAAAGTGCATTGTACGTTATTAAGCAAACATCGATAGTATCGAATTTTTACACAAGGTTCAAATAAAGTGCTCATAAGTCCGTCATTGTGTCGGACAGTCCATCATTAAGGAAGTCCGCCCCTCAAAACGTGCATATTTAAAATAATTATTGATTAACAAAAAAGTTATTTTAAAAATGCATATTTTTAAAAACACAATATTGTACATGTGTTAGTTTTCGAACTAAAACTAACACATGCACTAATCTATCATCTAAAAAAAAAAACATGGCTACTTTACCCTCAAATACTCTTCAATCTCTCACAAGCCGCCCGTTGTTAAAAACACCTTTATTATATGCTATTCGATAATAACAGATAATACACTTTCTACTAGATCCTAAAAATGACTTTTTTCTGAAAACAAAATTTGGTCAATTTTACTGCAAAAAAGGTGTTCTAGTCCCAGAATTTGCATTTCTTAGAACTGTTATGGTATTTATAAAGCCCGCTTCTCAATCACGCGCTAATGCCGATTTCGACCGGAAAAAGTAGGCCTGGGGAACACTGTGCTGAGTTACGCTTTTGAGTTCTAGCCGCTCTCTGAGTTGTAACTCATTTATTAAAGCAGATTAAAGCTTTACGAGAGCTAAGACTGGAATTTTAACATCTAAGAAAACGGTCAACATTTTTTTTACCACTGACCAAACAACAACAAAAAGTTACCTCATTTTTAATAAGTAACGTTTTTCAGCAACGGAACTGCGATACTGCCGCGGTGCATTGGGTTGACGCACCAAGCCATTTGCGCAGCACTGCGTGAAGTCCTAAAAATTCACTGAGCTACCCAGCCCGGCCTAGGAAACAGTGCGAAAGCCTCCACACTTACATTTCGCATGGAAATAGAATATCATCAATAGCCGATATTCCAAAATTTCAGGTTTGGACTACAGAAGGTGCATTGAAAGTTCGTTGCAATGCGCGTATGGTCAGTTTTTGACGGGAAACTAAAACGAATCGTGACACGACTGAGTAAGACTGAGACAGTAACGTTTTATGTCTGAACGCGGCATGACTTACGGGTATTGCCCCTAACGTTTCTTCCAGTCAATATACAGTACTTCGAAATATGTATAGACATACAGATTTCAGATGCAGGTGAAAAAATGACATTAAAAGAAATACGTTACTAGAAGACATAAATTAATGACGTGAAAGATACGGAATATAAAAGCAGCTGGGAATAGAATACGACATAGACCAAAGACAGGCAAGATTAATGTCTCTCTCCTCGCCAATATGTTAGGAGGCGGTTCAAGAATAGGAGACGAATACTTTTGACAGCGGTTTTGCTGGATAGGGGCACGAAAGGGCTGTCAATAGGCAGGAACCTACCTACAAAAAATAAATCTTGTCAAAAAGTAAACGGGCACTATTTCTTTTGATCTGTCGTGAAAGACCCGATCAGGGATGGATTGACACAAACTTCCAACGCGCAATACTTTCGTCTTCCGTACTTGAACTTTTCGTTTGGTTGGACGCGGCATAATAAAAGTCAACAGACACATTATAGTGTTGTAGAACAGAGGTTTCTAGTGCCGAAGGAAATCCAGTTTGCACCTCTTGGGTAAACAGAGTGTTTCTAAACAAATGCAGTATAATACGTGACGACACTAGTTGTGAAGTGGGTAGTTTCCACTACTTTTGAGCTGCCCTCTAATGTGGTTAGTGCACCACGGGAGTCAACTCTTTCGGAGAACGATGTGATTAT